GCATGAATACACCCGTCTACCGAACAGAGCTGGCGAGGCCGGAAGGGGTGGGGGAAGCACCCGAGCAGCTCACACGGGCTGACGATTCACCCGAGAAACCGGAGTTGGCCAACACCCCACCTGCTGGTCACACCCTCCACCCGGCACTGCGTGAGCCAGGCACCCACAGAAGCTCAAGGAGAAGACAGTTCCGCCAAGTGCATGGAGGACCACAAACGCTGCTCACCTCTCGAAAACAGCTCCCCTCCCTCCCCATCTGAAAGATGGAAGTGAGGCTTTTGGGGAGTAGGAGAGGGGAGAAAACAGGAAATGTCAGTTACTTCTTACCTTGTTTCTCTTTTTCTTTTAGTGGGTCCGTGTTATAGACTCGGAATCCATTTTCCATCCCACACGCAAAGCATCCTAAACAGGGAGTGAAAGAGACACATTAACCCCCGGCCTGGAGTGGGCACAAGCGAGGGGTCTGGAGAAACCGGCATCTGCAAGAACTCCTGCAGGGGCTCACACCACCCAGACAGTGCTACGGCACAACCACCTTCCTCGCAGAAATGGTATCGAGTGATATATATGCACATCCTAGCGAGACACTTTCAGTTTGCCGTTAGCATGCAAATGAGCCTTTGCAGTTGCCCATGCTAGCTTCCCCACTGCAGGGTCCTTCTCTGGCTCCTGTGGGCCTGCTTCTGCTTGACCACTCAATTCCAGTGAGGGGCGCTCGCTGGCCACCTTGACAAGCCACTCCACCACCCAGCACCTCCCTCCCGCGAATGCTCATCACCCGCCTCCCGTTCTGAACACACGTCTTGAGAGAGCTGCGTGTCAGGTATCACACCAGGTCCTGGAGAGTCCGCAGCTAGCGGAGGACAGCCGCAGAGCAGGCAGTCCTGCCCAGCGCAGACACAACAGGTCAGGGGAGGGGCAGGATGCAGGAGAGATGGGAGGCTGGTCCTAGACTCCCGGAACAGGGAAGGCAGCAAAGGGCTGCTCATTCTCAGCTCCTGGTCTCTTAGAAGCCAGCTCTGAGGTCTCCCATGACGTTGCTGCCACCTATAAATCGTCCCAACTCCTCAGACACGGTCACAGTAACACTCATCTCCAAGTCACACACCAGGTTGTTAACGGTCCAAATAAAAGGCACTGCTAGGCCGGGCGCGGTGGCTCACGCCTGTAATCCTAGCACTCTGGGAGGCCGAGG